TTGAACTCATGTGTTACGTTATTGAATCTTAAAGGGTTTGGTTTCAAATCCTATTGATATAATTGATATTATTTATTTTTATAATATTATGCGTCTATTATTTTAATTGATGGAGATATCATTATGTTATAATTTGATTGTGATTTGTACAAAAATACTAGAATTTAATGAAATTATTATCAATGTTTATTTCCTTATTTTTTTGATACAACATTTATAAGGAGAATAATTTCCCTAATTTTTAGCATTATTTTTTTTATCTCCTTAAGTCAACCTAGCAATGACATGAATATATTTTTATTAAATGATTTTTTTAGTAAGTATATTGAGAAAGATTCATTTTTTTTATAACGAAAGACATAAACAAGTTATGATTTTTTTTCAAATGAATATATAATTGTGTTGTATCATTCATTTCCTAAAATGATAAAATAAAGTGTTAGTGAGATATGTTTTTAGATTTTTTTTTGCATGAAGCATTTATTTGTAGATAATATACATGAGATGATATAAAAAAAAATTAGTGTAGATTTTGATATTAAATTGATGTCTAAAGATACATAACAAGAATGTCATTTTTATAATGATTTCTCAATTTGAAAAATATATTATATTTTTCATACATCTATTTTGCTCCAGAAGTAGCAATATTTTTTTATATAAAAAAAAGGATTAAGAAATATCCTTAGTTGGTTTATTGTCTCTTGAAGACTAAAACAAAATATTGAGATTTTTTTTATGCAAGAGACCATTTTACCTAGCATTATTTCATTCCCTGAAGTGAATGTTCTAATGTATTAATTTTTGTCTTATCATATTCAATAATGCGAGAAATTAATGTTATATGATACTACAAATATAATTGAAGGCTCCAGAAGAGCTAATATATTATCACTGAAAGACACGAAGTTGCATATTAAAAATGCATTATATTTTTCTAAGTCTTACAGAAACTTATTTAGTTTCAAGGATAGTCTTTTAAATGAGTTTCATATTGAAACAAACAATGAAGGAAATGTAGAATAACTTTATATCACGAAACTCCACTTGAATAAAAAGGAAGTATTGAAAAAATTATTTTCTTTTTCCTATAGACTGTATTGCACGTATATTAATACAATTGAAACACATACTATTGTAAACCAGAAGTTTACAAATCAAAATAAATTTGAGATTTGGCATGACTAGTTGGGTCATCCTAAGACTATTATGATGCGAAAAATAATTGAAAATTCATGTAGACATTTATTGAAGAACCAGGAGATTCTTCAATTAAATTTTCTCATGTACTGCTTGTTCCCAAAGGAAGTTAATAATCAGATCATCGCTAGCAAAAATTGGGGATGAATCTATCTTATTTTTAGAACGGATACAAGGTGATATTTGTGGACCAATACACCCCCATGTGGACCATTTAGATATTTTATGATTTTAATTGATGCATCAACAAGATGGTCACATGTTTGTTTATTATCAATTCGCAACCAAATGTTTGCGAGATTATTAGCTCAACTAATTAGATTAAGAGCTCATTTTCCTAACTATTCAATTAAGAAAATTCATTTGGATAATGTTGGTGAATTCACATCTCATTCTTTTAATGAGTTTATTTTCCCAACATTAGGGGGAGAACACAAATAGCTAGAAAAAGATATTAGTTTGAATGAATTATCACTATCTCATTTTGATCCTCATACAAAATAATGTGAACTAGAAGTTCAAAAGATAATTCATTTGCAAAATCTAGCCAACCAATTACCAAATGTATTCACAGATCCAAAAAGGGTGACTAAGTCATATGTATCAGCGGCTAATGCTCCAATAAGAGTCGAAGTCCCTGTTAGACAATTTAATACTACAAAAGAGTTACAAATACGCCTAAAGCGTGGTAGACCAATTGGTTCCAAGGATAAGAATCCTCAAATAAAAAAGGGAGCTAAAGAGCAAAATGACCAAATTGAAGATGTAAAAACTCAAAAAGATTTCTCTGACATAACTAATATTCCAGTTCCAGAAGAAACTCAGGTACATGAAATTATTGAAAATGAAGAGATCTCAATAAATTATGTCATGAATGGAATATGATGGAATCGAAACAATGTCAATATTGATGATGTGTTTGCATATAATATAGCGCTAAATGAAATAAATGATATTGAGGATCAAGAACTAAAGTCCATCAACGATTGTCGACAAAGAAATGATTGGCCAAAATGGAAAGATGCAATTGAGGCAGAATTAGACTTGCTTGCTAAGCGAAAAGTTTTTGGACCAGTACTACATACACCAAAAGGTGTAAAACCTTGGATACAAATGGATTTTTGTGCAAAAACGAAATGAAAATGGTGAAATTGTGAGATACAAAGCAAGACTAGTTGCTCAAGGATTTTCACAAAGACTTGATATTGATTTTGAAGAGACATATTCACCTGTAGTGGATGCAAACACATTTTTACTATATATATATATATACTTATAAATGGGTTACTCCTCTCCCAAAGATAATACATCAGTCAGATTCTTTTCTCCATCTCTTATTGTCTTGTTTGTTCTCTCTACTTTTCTCTCTTTTATAACATATATATATATATATATTATGTATTTGTATAATTTTTTAATTATTTTTGTAAAATATTATTTAAGATATATGTGTATATATAATTTTTTTATGATATTATATGCAAAATCTATGATTATGTAAACCTTAGATAAAAATTATGTTTTTTTGCGATTAATAAGTGATTTTACTAAGTATAAAAATTATGACATATTGTAACAAGTGAACATTGTAAGTTACCGAACATAAAATCAGTTATGTTTTGAACATAATCAACTAAGTGCGTGTTTGCTTTAGATTTAGAAACGTGATTTTTCACTCTCTCTCTACGTTTACAAGCCAATTTACGTAGAAGCTACAATTTTTTGCTTCTCACAAACGTGAATTTTCATGTCCAAAAGGTAAAGCAAACACGCACTAAATGAACTATGATACAATATAATTAATTATATTCAATATAATTGATTATATGTCTCCAACCTATATGCACATTGTAGTAAAGAAAAAAAAAACTATATACATATTGAAATATTCATATAATAAATTATATTACTCAATATAATTGATTATGTAAATTTAAATTAAAAAGCAGTTACGAGTAAAGGATAAATTTATAATTTTATGAATAATTTCATTTCAATATTTTATTTACTCAAAAAAACAATCATTTCAAAATATTTTTTTTTTTATTTTCTCCTTAATTTCTGACACATCAAACGACCTTAATTTTTATTTTACTTTTAATTATTTATTTTTATTTATTTCTTTTCTCACCTACTTTTTTCCATTCTCTAATTCCATATATTCTCCTCCAAACATTAAAGTAAAGAAATCTTTAAGTTGCACATCAAAATAATGAACTTTTTCAACTGAGGAAGTTCATTCATTTATTAGTATTTTCAACTATGCATATTTTCCTCACTCTTAATTTTTAAAAAGTATTCTTTTAGATTTTTTATATCTTGTTTATTAGACTCGTGAACTTCAAAGAAAAAATTGATCCCAGTTTCAAGATTGATCTAGAATCGTTGATTTTGGATTGTTTGCGAAAATTACCAATAGACAGCAGTACAGTCTGACATTCATATAATTATTACAATCTCATATTTGTGCCGTTATCATTATGAATTGTATGAGTTGGTCCATTCCGTTTTGTGCGAACCTTGCATATGACTTTCATATACACTCAATTCGTCCTTTCTAAATAAAATTTATAATTTTAACATAATAAGTGTATTTCATACCTGATTATACAAAAAAAAAAAAAAAGACATTGATCATGTTAGTTTTAAAAAATGTGTAACGCAATGGATGATGTATTTTGAGAGAAATATTAACGATATACTTTTTTAAGTATTTTTTAAATGATTAAAATTTATTAAAAATATAAGTCAAGTCTAATTAAATTATTTAATAATTCTTTCTTTTATTTTTATAATTTTTAATAAATTTTAGACTTAAATATGATTTTAATCTTTAAATTTAAGATAAATTTATTTTTACTCCCTCAAATTTAAAATTATTATTTTTAATTTCGGTAATTTTTAAAAATCTTGTTTTAGTCTCTCAAGTCACCATATTTAAAAACAAGACAATTATATAATATTAATTAAATTTAATGTGATATTTTTACTAATAGGACATCAATAAGTAGATTTTATATAATAATATTTTATAAATTTTTTAACAAAATTTAAATATAAAAATTAAAATATTTTTTTTAAAAATTTATAGACTAAAAAGATTAATTTTAAATTTGAAAGATTAAAAATATATTTAAACTTATAAAATATTGTTATTTGATGATAGGACATCAATAAGTAGATTTTATATAATAATATTTTATAAATTTTTTAACAAAATTTAAATATAAAAATTAAAATATTTTTTTTTTAAATTACAAGAACTAAAAATAATAATTTTAAATTTAAAAAATAAAAATAAATTTATCTTAAATTTAAAAAATAAAAATCATATTTAAGCCTAAATTTTATATAATAAAAATGAATGCATTAAAATGAGGATGTATAAAGTATTTTCTTTGTGCCCATCCCCTTCTCCAAACGCTTCAATTTCTGGCTTCATTCATGTGTAACAGATAGGCCAGAACTTTTCAACTAAACTACTTTATGAAAAATTGCTGATGCATCTGATTAACAAACGTGCCTTAATCTACCATACAGGAAAAACGTATCATGTGGACCGTATAATATTCTATGCTTCTTTATCCAATTAATTGTTCATCAGGGTCATCACTTGGCCAAGCATGAGGAGCAGAAGAACATGCATTTGTTGATGCTTTTCCTTTTTCATTTGCTCATCATGACTGTGACTTTGTGATGGCAATTAGGACTGAAATTACAGTTCCATCACTTTCCAAGTGTTGTTTTCATTAGGCGAGTACGGTCTAAGCCACACAACCATGGTCTATAAAACTCCAAAGCACGCGTACACGAACTTGCAGGTTCAGCATTTCAAGCCACTCATCTCATAAGTGGACCTATTGCAAAGCTAGTTATGTCCATTACTTTATCAAACTAGTCCTTGCCATTACACAGTTCACTCTGCATTTCCATACCACTTCTATTTTACAACCCTTGGAGCTGAGACTCACACACTGACAGACACAGCATCGAACTCTCAGCAGTTACTCTCCAACAAAAGATAAAACATGGTGTTAACTTCATTTTCAAAAACTTATTTATTTATTTATTATTATTATTTCTTTTATTGTTCACAGCTTGTTTTATACTTTGTTATTGTCTCAAGGTCTTTGCTTTGCCCTTTTGTCGCAATTTTATAGGTTCTAGTAGCAAGTCATGGTGAGGAGGAAAAAGGGGCAGAAGGCGTTGCTGCTGTGGATTTTCGAGGTCACCCTGTGGACAAGTCAAAAACTGGAGGATGGCTAGCAGCAGGGCTCATCTTGGGTTCATATTCATCTCAATCCATTGAAATTTTAGTCATGTTTTCAATGTTAAACCATGGTGCTCTTATTTGGCTCCAACTCAATTTTTTTTTTCATGCAGGCACTGAACTGGCAGAAAGAATATGTGTGATGGGAATAGCCATGAACTTGGTGACCTACTTGGTTGGAGTTTTGAATCTCCCTTCAGCTGATTCTGCCACCATAGTTACCAATGTTATGGGAACTCTCAACCTCCTTGGCCTTCTTGGTGGCTTTGTAGCTGATGCCAAGCTTGGCAGATACCTAACTGTTGCCATATCTGCAATCATAGCTGCTGTGGTAAGTCCAAAACTTTGAACATTTAGATATACTCAATAGTCAATTCTCATAATTTTTTGGTTTATAAACACACCAAGGCAACCATTTTGTCCCTTCCCTCAAGAGAAAGTGGTTTTCAATTACTAATAGGTGCAAATAACAACATTTTGATTTAATTTCTATGCATCTCAATCAATCAGAAATCATTCATAAGATAGTTATCTTGAAGATCAACAAAATTTGTTATTAAATGACAGTGAAAATGGAAAAACTATTAACTCAACACTTTAATAGTTATGCTAGCAGTCAACTACTAGTTTTGTTGTTGGAGCAGGGTGTGAGTTTGTTAACTGTGGCTACGACCATTCCAAGCATGAGGCCACCTGCATGCAGTAGTGTAAGAAAACAACACCATGAATGTATTCAAGCCAGTGGCAAACAACTGGCTCTACTATTTGTAGCACTTTACACCATAGCTGTGGGAGGTGGAGGAATAAAATCCAATGTCTCAGGTTTTGGATCTGACCAGTTTGACATAACAGACCCTAAGGAGGAAAGGAGGATGATATTTTTCTTCAACAGGTTCTACTTCTTCATCAGTATAGGGTCCTTATTTTCTGTGGTGGTGCTGGTGTATGTGCAAGACAACATAGGAAGAGGGTGGGGTTATGGAATTTCAGCAGGGGCAATGGTGGTTGGTGTTGCTGTTTTGCTTTGTGGCACACCATTGTATAGATTCAAGAAGCCTCAAGGGAGCCCTTTGACAGTTATTTGGAGGGTGTTGTTTTTGGCTTGGAAGAAGAGGAGTCTTCATGTACCTTCTCAACCATCATTTCTCAATGGTTATCTTCAAGCTAAGGTGCCACATACTCAGAGGTTCAGGTAATATGATATCTTCCTCTTAAAGCAATGAATATGTTTAGTCGTGTGCATGATTGTCCTTTTTTCTTTCTTTTTTTTCTTCCAATTATTGAAGCATGATTTAAAAAATCTCCTTTTGTGTGGTTCTCATGAATGATTAGTTTCACGGGATTATTACTACTACTCATACGTATTTTTTATTGATCTGGGATAACGTAAGTGTATTCTGTTTTATCTGGAAAATGACAAATTTTACATTTGATTGGACTTTTATCAAAGAGGAATTTTGATAATGAAAAAGGACAAAGGCTAGCATCTACCGATGGAACAGTGTTTTGCCCTTTTCGTTTCGAAATTTTTTTGGTAAATTAAATTTTTAAAACTTTTTTTTTACGTAAGATATACAATGTTTCAATGATAATTTGTATTCATAAAATATATTTTTACTGGTTAAATATCATTTTAATACAAATACGAATCTAACTTAAAATACCGAGTCAACTTCATATAAACAAAAGTTGTTTGGTTTGGGAACAGGGAGTCTGTGGACTGTAGTTCTGCGAAGGAACACATATTTTGTTCTTTACCCATCTTTGTCACCTCGAAAAATACAAATGAGACGTAGATCTCTCATACAGTCATACTCGGTCCTCCTCTCAGTCTCCGACCCCAAACTTTAAAATAATGATTTGCAAAATTGATTTCGAATGAAGTTAAATGTTCTCATTCTAAAAATAAGTTCTTGGTAGTAAAATCAAGTGTACATTTTTTTAACTAAGAAACCAATTTCTCCCAGGTAAACATTTTTCTAAAATTAGATTTGTAATATTTTAATATGTTTTTTAATGAATAGCGTTGAGTGTTCGGATTCCACTTCCACAGTCGACGAGAATGAAGCATCAAACATGGGTAAAGAGAATGGGAGCATGTATGTTACTTTACAAAAAGAAAACTTAAGAAAATAAAATATAATAATTACATTTAATAAAAAAATTCAACTACTAAAACAGTCATAATATTATAAATAAATTATGAAGTTAAAGTTTCGACCATAAGTAATTTTAGTTAAATACTCGATCTTGCTATATTCTTTTAATATAATATATAATTACAAGATTTGAACATAAGACGCAACATAAACTACCCAAACTTTTCACTAGGTGACCCTAGTAGGTTAATCCTCCTATATATGCCTTTTGTACAGTAAAAAGCCACTTCCTTTTTTTGTTTCTTACTCCACTTCCTTAACATTATAACATAGTTTAGTGAATTTTGTTTAAAGTTTATCTCTTGATTTTATGTTCTATAAATCTCAGAATTATATTTATCATTCTTACGGAACTTCCTAAACAAATTGCAGCGATTTGTGTCTACCGATGGCAATTGGAAAATAAGGCAGAGTTGACTTTACATGACAAATTATATATTTCGAAGCATTTAAACAAAAAATGAAAGATTCAAATATCCTGCATCAGATTAAATTATCTAACTGCAACCTTAAATCAAATTTTGGATCATATGATTTTAATTTGATATCATCTTTGAATCAACACTGTATATAGCCATGAATTGATTCTCCGGTGAAAACACCAGGAAGGATTTTAGAATAAAGGTGTCATTCATTTCCTAAGGAAATAGTAAACCGAAAGAAATATTCTTAGAAATCAAGAGATATCTTTCTTCATTCTAACTGCTAGTCATTTTGTGATAGTTTTCTTGACAAAGCTGCAATCCTAGATGAGAACTGCTCAAAGGATGAAAACAAGGAAAATCCATGGATAGTTTCCACAGTGACTCAGGTTGAGGAGGTTAAAATGGTACTCAAGCTAATTCCCATTTGGTCTACATGTATCCTCTTTTGGACAATCTATTCTCAAATGAATACCTTCACCATCGAGCAAGCTACATTCATGAACAGAAAAGTTGGATCTCTAGTTGTCCCAGCAGGATCACTATCAGCTTTTCTCATCATTACCATTCTCCTCTTTACTTCCCTTAATGAGAAACTCACTGTGCCCTTAGCTCGGAAACTCACCCACAATGTACAGGGGCTCACAAGTCTTCAAAGGGTTGGAATTGGCCTCGTTTTCTCCAGTGTTGCCATGGTGTTTGCTGCAATTGTTGAGAAAGAAAGAAGGGTGAATGCAGTAAAAAATAATACTTCGATAAGTGCTTTTTGGCTGGTCCCTCAATTTTTTCTGGTGGGTGCAGGGGAAGCATTTGCCTATGTTGGACAACTAGAATTTTTCATTAGGGAGGCACCGGAGAGAATGAAATCTATGAGCACTGGACTTTTCCTATCTACCCTTTCAATGGGTTATTTTGTCAGTAGTTTATTGGTGTCAATCGTGGACAAAGCAAGTAAGAAAAGATGGCTAAGGAGCAATCTAAACAAGGGCAGGTTAGATGACTTCTATTGGTTGCTTGCAGTGCTGGGAGGACTGAATTTTATACTTTTTCTTATCTTAGCAACGAGGCATCAGTACAAAGTTCAGCACAGCATAAAGCATAATGACGGTGCGGAAAAGGAGCTTGTCAATGCAAATGATGTGAAAATTGGAGTTGATGGAAAGGAAGAAGCATAGGACAGCCTTAAAATCTCATTTTGTTAAGCCCAATATATAGTGTGCAATAACCGAGCATTATGCCCCAAAAATGTTAATTTTGGGTGATTTGTCAACCCTATTTAAGGGCAATTGTTATGTACTATTAATTATTGACAGATATAAAAAAGCCAAACCTCATCGTAAGTTGTGTTTCCTAGAGAATAAAGCAATTGTTGAATAAATCAAATGATTCCCAAACTGAAGATATAAATATATTAACCCCTAGATAGGCAGGTTTCATAATCAGAGGCCTGAATTTGACTAATGTTATAAGTCAAAAACACTACACAATCATAAACTCAACTCTGACATGACCTTCAAAGCAAGATTTTATCAATCTGAGACCAAAGCTTTAAGCAATGGCGCTGGATAGTTTTAGTAGCAAGAAGATAATATTTTTAAGAAAACAGAAGACTTTATAAAGCATCAGTGAGCGAGGGAGGTTTGTGACTTATGACCAATGGAGGACGAATAGCTCGGTGTGCTTGCTCCTTCTGCTTGCGGGCCTTGTACATTTCCTCTGTCTCGACAACAACTAACCTCTTGACCTATATTAATCACAAACTTTACCAACGTTAGCATATAGGGAAACAGACATATCAAGCAGAAAATGGACTTGTTTGGAGCTCATGCTAAAACCTGTTGGAGCATTCCCCTAACTGTAGGTGTGTTCCATCGCATGACAGTTCGATTGCATTTGCGCAGGCGAAGTGCTTCCAAAGTGCGCCTATGTAGCTTCCTGGTTCCCGGAATGCCCCTCACCAGTGTTATATAGAGATTGGGGCTCCAAGCAATTGGCACACAGGCCTTGTATGCCTTGAACGCATTCATGCCTTCAGCTTGAAGTCAGAAAAATCATTATAAACAAATCAAGCTAATGTGATTTTCATTTTCTAACTAGATACCCAAATTTAACAATTATCATGCAAAATAGATAAAGACAAGTTCAAAAAAAATAAAAGAAGTCAGGGATGAAAACAAAATCAAAATTCATACACTTCATTCCGCCGTACATTTAAAATTACTTGACGTAAGTAGAACACAATTGGGTAACTTACTAGCTTGTATAACTAAACTCAGCTTCTATTGGAAGCAGAACAGATAAAAATAATAATAATCAATGATTTATAGCTGAGGCATTTCATCAAACAGGTAGTAGGCAAATATGCAAGTTGCCTAAATTAAATCCCTAGAGTTCTCGCAACCCGCCCAACACAAAATCAGCAAGCACTCAACGTGATATAGGGAGACTCAATCATTGATACAAATTCGAACGTGATTAGAAATTGGAACCAAGAAAGGGGAACGAACTACACAAACCCTAAACTAAACACACGTAAAGTTGTCAATGGATTCCTTCAGGTTAAGAATGAAAATCAGAGAAGGGATTACCGTGAGGCGTGAGCGAAGAACAACCACCGATGCAAGTGTTTGGCTCTGTTCTGTTGCAAGCTGCTACCAATACTTCAAAATCGAAAACCCCTAACCTAACGCACCCAACTAACGAAACGCACAGTTTTCACCTATCAACATATGGGTTCGGGCCCCGTGATTTGGGTCGGTTGGGTCGGATCTTTCGACCTAATATTTATTTTATTATTTTAGCTTTATATTTCAAGAAATTAATAAATTATAGTTTTTTTTTCTATTGTTTTTAAATATTTTATATTATATTGTTTATTTTAGTCATTGTACTATTCATATTATTTATTTATTATTATTAATACTATACTTTTAGATACTTTAATCCTTACACTAATTAATATAAAAATATTATGATATTTTTTCTATATTATATATATATATATTCTTCATTAGAGATAGTATTGATCGAGAGAAGTAAAATTATTGAACAATAAAGTTTCTTTATAAGTATTTAACACGGTCATATATTTAAAATTTGAACTTAAAATCATTAATTAAAATGAAACAATTTCATATTAATTCATCCATATATTTAATAGTAAATGATGTCTATTTAAGTATATGTATTTCTATCTTATTTTAAATATAATAAGAAATGTTTAAGATATAATATAAGATTAATAATAGAATATGCAATATGAAAATATATAATAATTGAAACTTAAAAATATAATTAAAATAATTTATCTGTAAATCATATCCGTGACAGTACTTAAAAAATAGATTAAAATTGCAGTATTAAGATGGTTTAACGATTGGAAATTTGTAATAGTTGCATGATGATTTAAGCTAGGTATTCATTATCGACATTGAAAAACAAAGTTTTATAAGATTATTAAGATAGTAAATGAATGTTTTTAAGAAGTTTGTTTTATATACGACCATTAAAATAACTATTGTAGTACTAACTTGAAGGTTATATATATACATATTAATTTACATGTAACATTTCCCTCCAAAAAAATTTACATGTAACATGTTTCATATATTATTCAATTAATTAGTTTCATTTTTTGATACTCTTTTCACCGCTTCGTAAATATTGATGTTTTTGTTTTTACTCGTGACTTCTAATTAGCTTTTCTTTCTTAAGCATCAAAAAAGTGCACTAGTTTTTTAATTAATATTCTACTACTAATATAATTTGTTTCTGTAATAAGAACTCGAATAAGAATTTAATAATAGGTTTCAAATGAATTAAGAATTATTCATTGTAAGATCCTCTTTTAACGCTTTTCACAAACTTTCATTGGAGTAAAATCAATAGTCTTAGTGGATGATTATTTTGTTTGGGTGGACAGGGTTTCCAATTCCATTGCTATGCTCAATCCCATTCCCTCCTTACAAAGAATCCACATATACATGCATGAATGATTTTATTTCAAACTATTAAGTGTTCAGTATATTTTAGTTTTTTTTTATAATCCAATTCAGTATATTGCATAAACATTCATAAATACAAACAAAATATAAAAGTAAAAATACTTTGAAACATTAAAAGACTAAACTTAATTGATAAAAGGAATAATTTATTAATAAAAATTATAAACTAAAATGTTAATAATTAAATATTTAAAATTTTATTTTAAACAATTAAACTCTTTCATTTAATTAATTAATAAAGATCATTTAATTAGTAATTTTCAAATTTAACTTAAATATTCCATTTATTTAATGTTAAATGAAGATTTTGAGTATTATTTTTTTTAAAAAAAATTCCCGAATAACTAACTAAAAGTATTCAATATTACTGCTTCAAATATTCATGTAAGGAAATGTAGTGATTAAGCATAATTTATACTTAAGAATGAAAGTACATGCCAGGATTATTTCAACCAGAAAATACTTGCAATGATTTCTAGAACACTATTTCTAACATTCTGTCTACTACAAGAAAAAAAATTATTAAAAATTATAAAATTTAATGGATCTAACTCCTATTTAAAATTTTTATTCAAGTGTAAAAATTGTGATTTTTAACATTTTTCTTCAATTTTATGAACCACGTAATTTTAAATGTATTCCTATATAAATGTGAATTTCTCTCTTTAAATCCTTTTGCTCGTATGTACCTCATGGCTTATGCCTATTTTCGTTTATGTTTTTCAAGGAGGTGCAAAACTCCTTCCTAGCAAACTGCTCCATTGAAACACCATGTTTATTGCAAGCAACAAAACCAGACTCAATCCTCAAGGATGACAAATCTTGGTTACAAGAAGCTCAACGATGAGAACACATGTACCATCATAGTAAAACACTACAACCATCTTTAACACAGTAAACATCAGCCATATCTATGAATGTATAAGTGGTGTGAGAAAATATAAATATACACAAGACAATATGATATTAAACAATTAATATGCATAAATAGCTTCTTGATTCCTTTCCGGTACATCTATATATGCATTTACGTATGAAAACAAATTATATTCATTAAATTTAGGAAATAACACAAAACGCATACACGACAAGCATCGATCTCTAGCGATGCTCCACAAAGAGATAGATATATATAAATACCACATAGTTAGATTCATGCTCACTTACATAGATTGCAGTTCAGGATAACGTGGATTTTCATCCTGCTTTTTCTACAATTTAAAGTAAAACATGCATCAATATTCAATGACATATCATAGCAACTTGTCAACCTAATTAACGATTTCAAAATAGATAGGGTTTTCTGCTCAGGTTTTGGAGGCGATTGTGCTAAAGAAGCATAGGCATGCCATCCATGGGAAATGGCTTGCACATAACGTTTTCCATATAGTAGTTAGTTGCATCCATCACAGCAAATTGCATATCCTCAGAAGGCTTCCAATGACGTTTTCTCTGATTGATGAACCAATTATTGATCTGCTTCAGATCTAGGCCTGTGGATTCTGCAAGAGCCTGCTTTTGTGACTCCTACATTTTCAATTTTCACCGTTACCAAAAGATTAGTCATCGAATATATATAACAATAAACAAACCTTATGAATTAATAATGCCAGCTACATAACAAAATAACGTTTCTATATTCTTATTTCTAATACCAACAGCTATATAGCATCCTCAAATGTGTCTAAAGGAAACAAGGTAATGAAAATATGAATATTAGTCAAGATATATACTAAAGCATACCATAGCATAGTATATATTATAAAGGTTTGTGGAACTTAATTAGTTACCGAAGGGTAAGGCCATTTGTAATGCCTGTTCCACCAATCAAGTAGTTGTTGGCGAGCTTCCTTTGGCAACTTTCCATTCTTTTTCTTCTTCAAAAATTCCTTCTTCAGGCTCCCTAGGTATCCACTATACTTGCGCAAAAGCTGGACTTTGAGTTCACGATCTTCAGCTTGAGAATCTAGGTTGTTTTCATGCACATCAACCTCATTCTGTGAAGATGATTCACTTTGACCTTAATTTCAAATTGCCACAACAAAAATGGAAAAGAAAATAGACAAGTATCAGTAAAAATAATTCATGCAAATAAATATAAAATATCCATCAGGAAAATAATATTGACAACATGAAATTGCATGGCAGTCATAATTACTGACATTTACACACGCAGCAATAGCAAATAAGAACAATATATCAAATAATTCTAAATTTTCTTACTATAATTCCCTTACTAGATAAAGAAAGCATTGAATTATTGTTTTGTTTCTAAGATATTAAATACATTTAATTATTCAGTCAATACTTTTTCCATAAGTATTAAGAGGATTGTAAGAATAATATTATAGGAAGATACATGATTCTAACATATATATATATATATATATATATGTGTGTGTGTGTGTATAAACTAAACAAAGCATTATGTTAAGTATATATGTTCACTTACTGAATTATCAAATTTTTTGAATTATCAAATGACATGAATAACCTAATAAACATGTTGAAAAATAAATTTGACTAACAATTTTCTTTATTACAAGCAGTAGGTATTTTACTAAATAGGAGAAAATTGCAAATTTAAGAAACTTGTAACTTCCTCAGAAATATCTAATAACTGAACTTTTGATCAGTGCTTAATTTATTCCACCATGCATACTAGATAACTTGATATTTTAATAACTCTCAAATAAGCAAGTTAATACACAGGATGATTCACCTTAGAGCTTAAAATGTAACCCAAATAGAGAACAACTAGGACGGAAGTAACAAAATCATGCAAATTAAAAATTTACTTGGGATTCTGAGAATTAAGCTAAAGAGGGAAAAGTTAACAAGGAAACATCTGGTAACAGAAGATAAGACAAACAATTTCCTTTTTCTACTAGGTTCTTAAAGGACTTTGACAGAAAGAGCCATGCATCTAAATAAAGAGAAGGAATTAAACAGAAGATAGAAAGAGTAATGCCTCGCAAGAGGTGACAACACACTGAGTACTGTGAAAAAATGAGTAATACTAATTAACACCGAAGTCACACTAACTACAAAGAAAAAACACTTAAAAAATATCCGAAAGCCATCAAGATGAACAATGGGTCACTCAATTAAGCAGCATTGGGGTTCGAATAAACTTTTCATCATTAGAATAATAAAACAAAATCTCATTTTCTTGATTTCCCCTCGAGCAGTAATATTGACTCATAATCGTTTTCAAACTTTTTGACCTAGTTCAAAACACCTTGGACCCATTATTATTAACAATCTTAAAAATACTGTTAAGGATTTTAATCAAAGTTCCTTTATAACTAATCACACTATTTATGACGAGAAAGGTCATTTGACTACCCCTTTTCAACTAATTCAGAACATATATTAAACAAATTAATAAACTTTGGTATCACATCATTGTTACTAAAAACACATTTATCCGGTAGACGCAGGTGTGGTTTTCCTTTTTATTGGTATTAACTGTACCATCAGCTGTGTGGTTATGATTACTCTACAAATTAATATTAATTAACTTTAAGCTTTGAAAGACATTGTTTCTGAAGATCAGGGTTATGAGTAGTAACTAGCTCGCAGCATACTTCCACAGAAGGTTTAAAGACATTGAGACGCATAATAACTACTACAAGGATTGCAAGTTAAACCACGACTGATCATTACTTATTTAGCCTCTAACCAAAACCTTTCACACTGTTGTTTTCTAGGAATTCCATGATAGTAAAACAACGATCCATGGCCGTGCTGTTAATTCCCTCGCTTTTCTTTTCTCTCCCGTATAGGTCACACATCATGGATTATTAGTTAGCTTCTCTCACACACACTGACACTCAATCTTGGTAGCTCACGAGCACCCACTTCCCTAAAGAAGAAATGGTCCATAATTGCTCCACAGTACTCAGAGAAGTTTAGGAACAAATAATGACTTAAGGGTAATCACCAAAATCTGATGAAACTGCTAGGGCTTTGAGCTGACACTCAATTCTTGAGAAGAAAAGCATGGCTTCCTTAAAGGGTTTTGTGAGCTCTTGCTCGTACTTAATAAGCATCTCACAGTAGGCCTCCATGAACTGGTCCAGAGCTGGATCTTCACCTATTGAACCACTTCCTGTCCTTCCTGATGATGCATTCAAGGATTCACACTTGGCACATGACTCCTCTAAGCTAGCCACCACTTCAGGAGGTGCTCCAACCTGTAAACACTCCACTCGCACCATCAAAAAGAATAACCACAACAGAATCCTCATAAAACCCATGAAAGAGAAATAGATGAGTGCAATTTTAGTTTACAAGTTAATTTCAAGAGTGCATGTATGGACAAGTTGTACTAGGAAGAAAGGGAAAGATATAACTGTACTAGTGTGAATATTGAGCAAGGAAGAAGAATTTAGAGTCGATGACCTTGAGGCAATTGAGGTAAGAGGACAAGAGGCGAGGAAAAAGAGGATGTGCCATGATTTTATCCCTCACACTGCAAGTGTCGGTGGGGTTGTGGTGGCTGTAGTGATGATCCTGAGCGATGCTATTGCTAGCAGTGACAGGTACCCTTCTATTATCACTGTGCATTTGGGGACCAGGGTTGTTACTGAGAGGCAGAGAAAGAAACTTCCTATTAGTTTCCATGTTCATCATGTCCATCGAAGAAAGCTCACTGCAACTGTTCCCTCCAAACCCTATCATAGTTTCAAAGTAAGGTGTGTTGTGTTAAACCCTTGAAAGGAATGAAGACCTGTTTTTGTTTCTTTCTCTCTCTATATGTAAAGCTATATAAAACTCCTCATCACATGTACATATATATATATATATATATATATATATATATATATATATATATAAGTATTTTA